AAATCAACATTTTGTTATCTGTTCCTTTTGGCTGAAGGAGCAATCTCATGGAAAAGTGCGAAGCAGACTATCACAGCTGCTTCCACTATGGAAGCTGAATTTTCGGCTTGCTTCGAAGCTACAATTCAGGGTTTATGGCTGCGTAATTTTATTTCAGGACTTGGAATTGTCGACAGTATTGCCAAGACGATGAAAATTTATTGTGATACTCCACAACAGTCTTCTTTTCCAAAAACGACAAGTATTCCAAAGGTGTTAAACACATGAAATTAAAATATATTGTCGTTAAGGAAGAAGTTCAGAAACATAGGGTGTCAATTGAGCATATTAGCACCATCTCATGATTGCAGATCCTTTGACAAAAGGGTTGTCACCGAAGACATTTAACGAACATATCGTGAGAATGGGCATTACCAAAACCCTTTATTAGTTTTAAGTTCTCTATATTTTGACATTTTGGGCCCAATTTTTCTTGTTTCTGATATTTATAAATCTTGTTTTTATCGTTAGTGTAAACTTTATGTTGCATGATGTTAAACAAAATTTATTTTTTAATAGACATTATGAGACTATGATGTTAATTCTCTTTATGCTAAGTATGTAATTGATATTGTGATACATAGAAGGGACTGTGTCGATAAATTGATGCACAACCGCCATGATTCATATTAATTTTATACTTATTAAATAATTTATGATTTAACCAATATAAAGAAGGATTTATCTTGCAGTATGTAATGCACTATTAAAATTAAGTGAGCCAAGTGGGATAATGTTATATTTTTATTTATGACTCACATTTATTTTAATAACTTATGAGATTTATTTTTGATAACTTAAGTTATTAATTTTCTTAACTCATAACTTATGTCATAAATTATGACAACTTATGATATTTATTTTGATAACTTAAGTTATTTATTTTCTTAACTCATAACTTATGTCATAACTTATAATATTTATTTTTGTAACTCATATAACCCTTAAAATAAATAAATATTACTAACTTATGTCATTAATTTTATTAATAAAAATCAATTAATTTATTAAATTATCATAAATCCTATTGGTTAGTAACCCCCTTGATGAATGGTGGTTAAATAGAACATGAATTTGAGAATGAGTCATCTCTCTACCTAACACACTCCGTACATTTCTCTCCATCAGAAAGTACAGAAAGTTTCAAGGGATTAGAGAGAGAAACTCCATCTCTTCAAGATCAAATTTTTTCAAAATCAAATTTGTTCATCATGAATACAAGTATGCGTCACTTTATTTTAGATATGAAAAAATCATGAATTTAAAAGATCTTGGTTATTATGTTTTTTTTTGAAATTTGTGTCATAAAGTTGAAACATGAATTTTCTAACAGAGACTCCTTTATTTCCCATCAGAATTCCATGCCAAAGGTTATTAAATGATCGGTCAACTTAGCCCGCTTGACAAGAAGATCGGAAATCTCATCGAAACTGCAGGATTGATTGAATCAAATGACTACCGCAAACGATCAAAAATAAGGAAACCGACAATTGGAAGTAAAATCAGTTTATTCATACATTATGTTCAATGAGCGCGATCATTTGTGATAGTGTCACTCATTTAGTTATTAATATTAAAAATGTAGTTAATTAGGAAGTAAAATTAACTACCCCTGGTCAGAGAAATGACAAAGAATACTCATTAACCGTAAAAATAAAGAGTATAATATTGTAATTGTATATTGAAGCTACCTATTGTTATATATAGGGGCTATTTTATGAATAAATGTTACACTTGATTTCTGTTAGTTCTCTATACCCAAATTTAATCACCAAGCAAATATGTATAGGTGGCCCTTATAAATTCAAGAGGTGGCTCCCACCATATAACACTTTGTCCCATCCAGAATTTAGGAGGTGGCTCTCATAGTGTAACACTTTGTTCTGTATAAAGCTTAATTCCCATATTCAAGCTAGTGTAATGCTTTGATATTATTTGTAACAGCCTAATCTCACATCCATAGTGATATTGACCGTTTTGCCAGATAACCTAACAATTTTTGCCCCATTGGTGTAACTTCCCAGAAGGTCACCCATCATTGTTAGTTCTCTAACCATTACACCAATCGGGTTAGAAATATAAGTGTTCAACTTCATTCCATTCAAGGGATTTCACAAGATTTGGCTATGTGAAAAGTTCAACCATGCTTCCTTGATCCTTATCAGGCGACCAAGAGAGCTAGTGGACTTGCATGCATTTTGACTCTTCGTTCAATACTTTCAAGAGTACACAACATCTGCCATGTCTCTATGCTACAATGCTATGTGTATGACAACGACTCTTATATCATCCAATGCGAGTCATTAGTGATATAAGAATACTTGAATTATTAAGTATACCATATCATATTTTGGAGCTTGAAGTTTGACAACTTCATCGTTGATCTATTCATGTTGTACTGATATTTTGGAAGAACTAGTCAGAGCAAGTAGCGGCCTAAGAGATTGAAGAAGTACTAACAGCGAAATACCCACAACTATTCCAAAACTAAGTTAAGAATTTTAGGACCAAATTCCATTAAAGGGGTAATATGTAAAATCCAAAATTTCATTTTAGCCTCCTCGGTCACCTCTCCATTTTCACAATTTTTTGTCTCTATGGTGCCACCCCACCTGATTGCATAAATCACTCACACTTTTTCTTCTATTCTTCGCTCACTTTCAAACCAACTTCCAAAAATTTTAACCACGCGACTCCTTCCTTTTTCTCCCCGCTAGCACCTTCATGATATGGATTCCTTTCCATTACCTCTTATGCAACTTTACAAACTTTCCACCACCTCAAATCCTTATACATTTGAAGACAAAGGGTTAGTATGTCGTCTTGTCTTGTTAGCCCCCCTACAACCATCGATCTATTAGCTTTCTCTCTCCCCCCCTCCTCGTTCTCTTTGACCAGGCCGATGTCAGAAGACTAAAACCACTCTCTTCCTCGATCGACTGGGCATTGTAAGCCCCCTCAATTCTTTATTTTTTCCTTATATTTTAATGAAAAAATTTTCTTTATATAATAATAATAATAAACTATGCCAATTATGTTACTCCTAATTTAATAAATAATTAAATTTAATTGCATAATTTTTTATATTATGAATTTCATTTTGTACAAGATCTAGTGGATAATGCCAAGTGAACCGTTAAAAAATTTGGAGTTTAGCACCTGTCTCAAATAAGTAACTGTTCTTTATTAGGAAATAAGCATGCCTTTTGTTATTAGAGGTGTTACCATTGCTCCTAGTATTAGATTCATAGTTACCTTGTAGGATTGCCAATCTAAACCTTTGTTTATTACAAGTATACTTATTTCTCCACTTGTTATGGATTCATTTATTGCTCATAATGAAATATATAATTGCATTATTTTATTATTGCACAACTCCTTGTATATTCCATTAATTATATAGCCCTTTTTTTTGGTATGTTGTTATTACGAATTACAACTAAATCTCTTGCACATTATAAGGTTTGAATTATTAAATATACAAAAAAATTCCGTTGAAAATTTTGTAATCATATGTTTTTTAAGTGATGGTTTATAAGTCAGTGAAACCCTTTGGACATTGGCTAACTGAGTTGATGGACCCACAAAGTGACGACTCTATAAGAAAATTTTTGGTTGTCTTAAGTTGGTGTTTAACTTCTCAATTTAAAATGTCCCATAAAACCAACTATATATAAATATAAATTAAAATTGAATAACAAATAACTATTAGGTTTTTTGCTAGTAAAACCTTATTGGATTCAAGGTGACCATATTAATTGTCAATGATTTCATATTTGGCCTTTTATAATATTATATATATGCATATAATCATACTGCATGCCCCAGTTCATTAGAATTAAAATCACTAAATAATGATAAAAAACTAATTATGTGTCTTTTGATAAACATATGATAATGATAGCATGTCAGTACATCACAAAAAATAGTTAAAACAAATTAATGACATTAATCTTAAGCATTTAGTTTTAAAAAAAATTAGTAAATTAACATGATCATAAAATAATATTCCTTTTTTTATTTCTTATAAATTTGACTAAACATCATTGCCATTTGTATTGCATGGGATACCTCTTTGTTATATCTTTATATAATCTCTACAATATATTGAGCACAACAAAAGAGAAGCACTAAAATATAAAACTTCCAAAGCCATAAAAAACATACAATTATTATGTAATTACATATCTACCAACTAAACTTTGATATTTAATTATGTAATAGCTTAGTATTCCTCTCAAAAAAGTTAATATCAATGATATTTTTGATGTGACCTTAAATATCAAGTCCATGTAGTTGATGGGAAAAGGCACAAGATTTTGTTGTTTGTATGTAAATCCCAAATCATTCAAGACCCTACACATCATAGTATTAAGTTTTTCAAAGATACATTTCTGAAAACAAAGATAAAAAGGAGGAAGATTTACATAAATACCGCTTAATTCCTATGCATTTACATATCTAACATGAACATGAACTTTTCACTTCTATGCCACCTTAACTAACATGAAAAGGTGTATTTCTTCTTCTTTTTTTTTCAAGTCAAAATAGTGCTATTTTTTATGTGATGTGAAAGATTTGAGCGGGATAAATGTAAAAATTAAAATTTGGGGGTTAGATATGTGAATGCATAGCGAAAAGAACGGTATGTATGTAAAAACCAAGTCATTGAAATAAAAAGAAATACTGGAATATACAAACTTCAACCATCTGCAAGCATAAAAATTTCAGAGAAAAGTGAAAACACAAACGACCAATGAATGAATACCCCTCTATCTATGTTTTGTTCCACTTCGTTTCAAAATGATTTGATCTGATGACTAAAACGATTTTCTAAGTTGCTAAATGAGCTAGAAGTGCCCATTCCCACTAAGATGGCAATAATTTCAGAAGCTGAGCATGCAATTTACAGGTTATTTAAAAAAAAAAAATTTAAATCGAAGAGAGTGAAAATGAAGTACCTTTTAGGTGTTCCTCTCACCCTTTGGCCTGATCTTCCCTGCGCAAAGACTTCTGAACCTCTCATAAGTTATAACCGTTGCTCCAAAAATGGAGAAAAACTCCTCCCAACGGTCCTCTGTTATCTGCAAGACACAGCTGATCACCCAAAATCAACACACTGCAAATTCTGAGAGCATATAATGGATCTCGGATCATGAAATCTCATCGCGCCATAACCAAAATTGCAACTTAGAAACTCGAATTCTGTTTCCTCATCATCGCTGTCAACGTTCTTCGGGCTCACTCGATTCTGATAACTTCTGCGTGCGAGGAGAAACACGTCGAAGTAATAGCTCACCAGGGCTCGGTTTTCTCTTCTCGGAAAACACAGGCGAAGCTGTTTCCAGAAAGTTTGGCTACGCGGCGGTTGATTCAGACGGAACGCAGCCTTGAATCGCTGCTCTTCTTCCTCTTTCCACGACAGCGCAACTTCTTCACCCATTAAATGAAATCTCCATGCATAAAAGGCTGCGCCCAGTTCGCATTTCAACTGAAGACGCTTCTCTGCGACATGAAATCTCACACACTCGACTGAGCCGGGATTTCTGCACTTACAGCTATCTTCTCTTCCTTTCCCGATTAGATTTGGTGGGGTTGGAAGATTTTTTTTGAGACTTTCTGGAGGCCAGATGCGTCTTCCCAACCATTTCAAGTCGTCGGAATCATACGGAGTAGCAGGCTTGGTGGACCAAGATGACACTCTTGCTTGAAAGGATGAACCCACAGGTATACGTTGTGGAGCACAATCAGCCAAGTAATCTGGAAGTACATAACTCCTTCGTGTTAAAATGAATTTGTTGGCCTCATTTGCATTATTATTGAGACCTTTATCCTTCTCAGCCATAAATACTGTGGAAGATTTTGAACAGGAACCAGAATAAGATGGCTTGGAATGGGTGTTTTGGGTGCATCTTGACATTTGAAGATTTGGATTAGAAGCCCCATTACAGTCCTCATAAATGGAAAGATTCATCTTCTGCCCTTTCTGCAAGACCACATTGAAATTTTGAAAACTCCTTTTACCTTAAAAAAAAATTTAGAAAAGTTTATGAATGCTTATAGATATCTAAAGTGGAAACTGATTTTGTTTCCAAACCATTCAAGATGTAGCAAAATTGATATTTAAATTTCACCATCATAAAGAAACTCGATCATTTGTGTTGAAGGTTTTAGAACCTAGTGTTCTATCATCGCAGATAAGATGGTAATCTGTTAGCCTCTTGAAGAGGTGAAAATCTCTCTTAAATTTTTAGGGAAATAAATCCGTTTACGTTTAAAATTATGAAATTGAGTATTGACATATTTTTTATTTGCGAGCATAGTGCAAACCTCATAAATTGAAAATTGTGCAATTCAAAATAATGATATAGAAAAAATTCATTATTATATATATTGACGTAAAATCATAATATGTACTACAAAATATATAAGTAAATGAGTTATATGAAGCATATTTCACTTAAATAAAATATCATATGTAATATGAGCTATAATCGAGCTTACTATAGAGCATTAACAAGTTGCTTGTTAAACAATAAACAAATTTGTTGGTGAACAAAAATATAAGATTTTGAATATGTTTATGTTTGGTTCATTTAACATTCAAGATATTAAAAAATGTTCAAACTTGTTTATTAACTAATTTGATCAAATTTAAATGTGCATTAATCGAGCTAAGTTCGAGTTGTTTATCAAGTGCATTGGTTTACTTACAGCTTTAATCATTCATAAACCTATTAGGTATTAAAATCTAACATCTAGCTTAAGATATTTGTAGAGTATTATCCTACTAATGATCTACTTCATGATCAAATTATAAGGAAGACGATTGGCATGCCAAGAAAAAAAAGGGGCTCTACTATCTAAGCACAAGTATTAATAATCACAAGCCTCAATTTCATTTATATGAAAATTTGGATGCTAGAAGGGCACAAATTTGGACCATCACATTCAGATGGGTTATCCATCTTTTAATGTACTACAAGCCAAATTCCAATCTTATTTAATGAAATAAAAATTGCAAAGTTGCAACATGAGGTGTGTCAATTGGGGAAACATAACAAAGTTCCCTACCTCCTTAGCTACTCAAAAACCTTAATAAAATTTTCCCTAATCCACACCCATGTTTGAGGACAATATTCATTACTAATATCAATGGGGATAGAATGTTTGTTACTTTCACAAATGATTGCTCGTGCACGACCTCAATTTTTTTCTCTTGAAAAAGTAAATTCAATAACAGTAGAATCCTTACACTCCATAAAATGATCCTCATTTAATTTGGCAATAAGATTAAACATATTAGACTTGATAATATGAAAGAACATATTACTCAAGGCTTATTTTTATTTCTCTATTAAAAAAAATATTATCTATGAATCCTCTTGTGCTAACACCACACAACAAAATGGGATCGATATAAATAATTGTCATCTCCTTCAAACTACTAAGGTCATACTCCTTGAAAGGTTAAACACTAAACAAAAGGAGCTTCAAACGTCCAAATTCGTATAATACCAATTATGATGTAATGAAGTTATGAACTCTACCGTTGAAGTTTAAACCCATATTATATCAACTTCCTGATGCATCAGGAACAAAACCCAAACATGTACCAACAACTCCAATCCAACTCTTCTCACTTTCCAATATTTCCTCTTCCCATATAATCTTTCTCACTCAGGTAAGAAAATTCAACGTACAAGTAAATATCTAAGAAAACAATTGAAAAAAAAAAGACCCAAATAAATTAGACCCTAATCCCATTAAGAATATTTTTATTGAAAAAAAAAATTGGGTGTTCAATCTTCATTATTATTCATTTTCAACACCATAACAAATTAGAACCTAATCATATTGAGGATATTTTTATTGAATAATCCCCCCCCCCCGCCCCAAAACAAAAGTACCGTGGCGGTGGTGCATTTTACATTTAAAACTTACTTGATCATCCACAATCCTCACTCATCAAACCCATAGACAACGAGTATCTACCATTGCCTCTCAATTTACCTACATAATCTGTCAAGAGCAACAAACTCCCTCTCATCAACTTATTAATCCACTCAACCCATATAAAATGAGCTTCGTCCCTCTACCATACAACAACAACAAAGCCTTAATCCCACCGGCTACATGAATCCTATTTCGTGCCTCTACCATGAGGGAGAAAAAAACAAGGTGGCAATTAACTTAGCTCTAACATACCCAACAGCTCAAACATTGTTCAATGACTAATAAAATACAAATTGGTAAGAAATCCATAGATGATAATAATGCTCCAATGTCCCATTTCCTGAAGAGAGAGAGAGAGAGAGAGAGAGATGGGTTCATGTAAATAACACAGTCCATAATTTCATAACTTGTAGAAGGCTTAGACTTGAAATTCATGTTTTTGTCACTTCTCTTGAAAAATAATTATTCCAAACAATGTTAAGAAGATCTCAAACCCCTTGAGTGGAAGAAAATTGTAGTGAGAAATTTGGGCCTTGAAAAACAATGATATGTGAGAATTTTATGAGGAGCTTCAACTAAGGAAAATTTGATTGGATGCAAAAAGAGCTTTATAGTGAAATATAAAGTAGATGGGAATGAAGATAACTTAAAGCTTTATTTGTTGTCAAAAAAGCATAACGATACATATAGTATTAACTATAAAACAAGATTATATTTCATTACGAAACTCATCATGATTAAAATTTTGCTCTATTGTGACATATTTTGATTGAGTAAATTTTTCTTAATGGGGAACTTGAGAATTAAGTATATATGGAGATCCTACCAAGTTTAGAAAAACAAAGAACCACAAATAAGGTATGCAGACTCAAAATTTGATATATGGCCTCATGTTTAGTTCATCATATTCTTTAAATATGTCGAAAAATGTCGGCATTCTCAATGCCAAACTATTCACTCACTTTATCAAGTGCTCACCTATAGAAAAAAAAAGAGATTTTGATTGACAATATCATATCAACATATAACTTGACCAGGAAGAGCTAACCATATAAAAAAGGTTTTGACAAGAGAATTTGAGATTTAAGTCTTAAAAAATCTAAAATAGTTTCTTGGTATGAAAGTGCCACAATAAAAAAGGTATTCTTATTTACCAAAAGAAGTCTATCATTGATCTACTTCAAAAAACCAAGAATGCTTGGATATAAACATGCTAAAACTCTAATGAACCTAACAGTGCCTATTGATAAAGGAAGGTATTAATGCCATGCAAGCAGGCTCATCTACCTCTCTCCCACCTATTCAGATATCGAGTTCTTTGTAATGATGTAAGCCAATACATGAATAATGTTACAAATTATCATAAGAAAATGTTCGTTTTATGAGCTTTATAATCAATTCTATTAATTTTGATGATAACAAATATATGATTGGAAGATCAAATGTTTGAATTAAGTATTTCAGGAGCATTGATTTTATGGATGTGTAAATTGAATCAAGACTTGAGCCTAGGTGAATCAAAGATGAATAACTTGGAGCTCAAGATAGAAAATACAGGATTTTTCTTCCAAGGATTATTTTTTGCTCACAATCAAATATATTCACTTAATTAATCATTAATTAAGAATAATCAATTAAATTATTTATCAATATATTTAAATATTTAATTATAATTTCATAATCTGAGTATTTTCTTAAAAATTTCCTACATAACATCAGCTTCACCAAAATAATATAATTGGATATTAATTTTAGAATATCTATTTTATTTCATTATATTTGAAATTTTTATGAGTTATTAAATAAATGATTTAATAGCATTTGAATATTATTTAAGATGTTTAAGAATTATCATAAAAGTGATAGAATTTATTTTTCTGCCCATATCTTGTGACCGTCACGAAATCCTCAACCTTTTGGATTTAGTGGCTTCTGTACATGATTGGCTTTTGATTAAAAAACTCCCCTTGGTTATAACTAGTCTCACTTTCTTCATGTAAATGTTGCTCTTGAATTCTAAAAACTCCATGTCTCAAGCATTCTTCACATCTTTTTCTTTTTTTCAAGAAAGTTCTTAAGAAGAAAGTTTATTTTCATTCCAAGTGCACCACATTGTTGTGATTTTACATTCCTTGGTTTGGAATCCTCTGCGCATTCAATCAAGAAAAAATTTCTTAAAGCCTTTGATTTTGATTAAATATTTTAATTAATCAAAATTATTTTTAAAAATCTAAATTCTGCCATAATCATCCTACAGAAAGTTGTTGACATTATTCTAGGAAAAGTCAAAATAACGCAAAGGGAATGCTTGTTATATAAAAAATCAGCCAAAAAGGAAATCAAACTTGTCATATGACTGTGTTGGAGACGCACAATATTAAAAATTCACTTTTAAATATAATACTTACGTATGAGGGAACAAAGTTATAAGAGGAAGTAAGAAATAGTACGCGGTCTCAAAAAATAGTGGTAAAGCTAAGGCAATGTTGATAGCATTTGTGAAGGAATGAGATTAAAAAGACTGTTAGAAGAAACAAATTATCAAGTAGAAAATCTCTAAAAGTTTATTATGCAATCATGCTGATATTGCAACAAATCCTATCCACTATAAATGGACTAAAAACATTGCGATAGAGTGATATTTCAACTCAAACAAAAGCTGAAAATAGAGTAATGCAACTTAATTATGTTCAGCAAACCCTCAAACTGTGAATATCCTCACCAATGTTTTACCCATAATTAGTTTCGACAAACTAATTAAGTAGGGAATGATTAACATATACAACATAGCTTGAAAGAGAGTTCTGAAATGAGATTCAATCCATGGCCAATAGATTTTCATCTACAAAAACTAAGATTTTATCTGCAATAATCCAACACTCTTTGGACAACAATTCTTCATCTACAACAATCTATGAACAGCAACATTCAATTTATGTTGTATATTTAATTCAAGTTAAGGATTCGTTTCAAAGTGGTCTATTTCCTTTCTCCAGTTATTATTTAGCTCTGGTTTCTCATATCTATTTA